AAGAGTTCCACTGCTGAACAGCTCTCTCAGGAAGTTCTTCCTAGCGTTCAGGTGGAATCTCCTTTCCTGCAGCTTGAAGCCACTGTTCTGCTTCTTAGTCACCCAGGGCAGCAGAAAACAAGCTTGCTCCCTCCTCCTTATGACTTCCCCTTACATCTTGATCCATGGCCCTCATCATGTCTCCTCTCAGCCTTCTCTTCTGCAGGCTAAACATGCCCAGCTCTTTAAGCCGCTCCTCATAGGGCTTGTTCTCCAGACCCTTGATCATTTTAGTCACCTTCCTCTGGACACATTCCAGCTTGTCAACATCTCCCTTCAATTGTGGTGCCCAGAATTGGACACAGTGTGATTCCAGGTGTGGTCTGACCAAGGCAGAATAGAGGGGTAGCATGACTTCCCTGGATCTAGACACTAGACTCCTATTTATGCAGGCCAAAATCCCATTTGCTTTTTTAGCCACCGCATGACATTGTTGGCTCGTGTTTCACTTGTTTTTCCATGAGGACTCCAACTCAGGAGGAAGAGGATGATGGTCTTGGAGCAACGACCAAGCCAGCCATAGCACAAGCACACACTACCCCAGGAGCCCTCACTTGACCATAATGTCACAAGGAGAAAGGGTATCATAAGGATGGAGAGAGAAATCTTCCTTTCTGCCATGGGTTCAAATGACAGAAAAAGCCATTCCATGAGCTTTAGGAAGAACTTTAGGCAGATTGTAAGAAGAGCCCTTCACCAGTGGAACTCTGCATGGAAGAAGAGGGTTGGACTGGATGCTCTTTGGAGGTCCTATCCAACGCTAGGAATCTATTATTCTACAGTGGCCCCTGTTGAGAAACTTCTCCGGCACCGAACTCTCTTATGGCTTCTACAGGAAAGGAGGTTCCACCTGAACATGAGAAAGAACTTCCTAACCGTGAAAGCTGTTCAGCAGTGGAACTCTCTGCCCCCGGAGTGTGGTGGAGGCTTCTTCTTTGAAGGCTTTCAGACAGAGGTTGGAGGTCCATCTCTCAGGGGTACTTTGTGCTTTTCCTGAATGGATGAAGGGGGTTGGACTGGATGCTCTTTGGAGGTCTCAGCCAACTCTATGATTCTATGAGTCTGCAGTGGCCTCTGTTGGTAAACTTCTCCTGCACTGAACTCTCTTATGGCTTCTACAGGAAAGGAGATTCCACCTGAACATTAGGAAGAACTTCGTAACTGTAAGGAGAGCTGTTCAGCAGTGGAATTCTCTGCCCCAGAGTGTGGTGGAGGAGCCTTCTCTGGAGATTGGATGGCCATCTGTCGGGCATACTTTAAATATGATTTTCCTGCTTCTTGGCAGGGGGTTGGACTGGATGGGCCATGAGGTCTCTTCCAACTATGATTCTATGGTTCTAGAAATAGACCACTTTGGTCGGAATCCCAACGGAGAGGCTGGAATGGCGGGCAGGGAGGCCGGGGAGGAGCCAGGAGGCTACCAGGAGCCAGCCCCGGTCACCACAGTGATTTGGCAGCCTGAAAACCCCTTTTTTCTCCAGCCATCTCAGCAGGGTTCCTTGGCATTGCTGCCTTCCAGCTGCTCTGGGTTTCATTATCAGGGGCTTTGAAAAAAAGGAAGAAGACTCAAAATTGTGTAGATAGTCCTAAACCAGTTGCAACTGCGATCCTTTGCGTTAAAATCCCAGTTCAATGGATGAGAGGATCAGCTGAGGGCTCAAGGGATGCCAGTGCTGGACCTTACCCACCTGAAAGACATTTTGGCAAACCTCTTCCCTTTGAATACTGGTCAGGAGGGGATTGATTTTGTCATTTGGGAGTTGTAGTTGCTGGGATTTATAGTTCACCTACAATCAAAGAACATTCTGAACTTCACCAGCAATGGAATTGAACCAAACTTCGCAGACAGAACTCCCATGACCAACGGAAAATACTGGAAGGGTTTGGTGGGCATTGACCTTGAGTTTTGGAGTTGTAGTTCACCTACATCCAGAGGTGGATTTAAACAAAGATGGATCTGGACCAAACTTGGCATAAATACTCAATATGCCCAAATGCGGAACACTGGTGGAGTTTGGGGAAAATAGACCTTGACATTTGGAAGTTGTAGTTGCCGGGATTTATAGTTCACCTACAATCAAAGAGCATTCTGAACTCCACCAAGGATGGAATTGAACCAAACTTGGCACACAGAACTCCCATGACCAACAGAAAATACTGGAAGGGTTTGGTGTGTTTTGACCTTGAGTTTTGGAGTTGTACATCCAGAAGTGAACTCAAACAATGATAGATCTGGACCAAACTTGGCACGAATACTCAATATACCCAAATGTGGAGCACTGGTGGAATTTGAGGAAAATAGACCTTGACATTTGGGAGTTGTAGTTGCTGCGATTTATAGTTCACCTACAATCAAAGAGCACTCTGAAGCAAGCCCACAATGGATCTGCACCAAATTTGGCACACTACCTACATGGCCAACATTGAATACTGGTGGGGTTGGTGGTGGTGTAGTTCACCAACACCAAAAAGAAAGCGAATGACAAGTGGAGAGATCTTCAGCCTTCTTTGACAATAAGGTTCCTAAGACCATCAGAAATATGTGGAAAAAATATGTTTACTGATGGTATTTGGCAACCCTCTCTGATACCCCCCTCATGACCCTCCCAGGGGTCCTGACCCCCAGGTTGAGAAACACTGCCTTACTGGGAGTTTGGCAGGGAAGAAGAGGTGTCGTAGGGGGTTGGTTCTGATATGACACCGCTGGTCGTGTGTTGTGGAGATGATAGCAATGGTCTTGTGTTGCCTAACGCCACCAGAGAACAATCCTGGGGCTCTAGGGCAGGCATGGGCCAACGTGAGCCCTCCAGGTGTTTTGGACTTCAACTCCCACAATTCCTAACAGCTTCATGCCCTTAAGCAGATGAGGGGGGAAAGTAAGGGGCCTGAGGCTGTTAGGAATTGTGGGAGTTGAAGTCCAAAACACCTGGAGGGCCCATGTTGGCCCATGTCTACTCTAGGGGCAACATTTCTTCAAATATCCAATTTTTAAGGTGAGCTTTGGAACAAGGTCTTGATCTGCAAAGCAGGGCCCCTCTCCATCATTCATTCCAAGCTAAGAATGAGCATTGGACAGCCACAGCAACAATTGCCACTTTCTGGTCCCTTTTTGGATCCTGTCGTCCAAGGGCAGGAGAATGGCTGTGGGATATTTGGAACCAGATAACCCCATGGCAGCAAGTGTCCAGTTCTTGCCTGTGTGAGCATTAATGAGGATGCCAAATGTACTGTTTGGGGTACAAGGATCTCTCATAAGACTTAAGTGTCCCTTCAGTGTCCCTTTGGTCGCCCTGCTAGTGCAAGAATGTTTCACAGTTTCCATCCCATCTGGGTTGGTCCGTCCATGATTTGCTAATGACAAGATTGGTTCAAGAAGAAGAGAATTATAAAGAGATACTACCTGGGTTGTTGTGAGTTTTTCAGGCTGTATGGTCATGTACCAGAAGCATTATCTCCTGACATTTTACCTGCATCTATGGCAGGCTTCCTCAGAGTACAAACAGTAACAGAGCAGATCTATCTTTCAAAGTAGTGCTCTTGCCCTGAGATTCCTCCTCCACTCCCAAGGAATTGAGATCTGGGTTTCACATTGCTCTAGAACAGTGTTTCTCAGCCTTCCCAATGCCGCGACCCCTTAATACAGTTCCGCATGTTGTGGTGACCCCCAATCATAAAATTATTTTTGTTGCTACTTCATAACTATAATTTTGCTACTGTTATGAATCGTAATGTAAGTATCTGTTCCAGAAGCATTCTCTCCTGACATTTCACCTGCATCTATGGCAGGCATCCTCTGAGGTTGTGAGGTCAGGTGGAAATGCTTCTGGAACATGGCCATACAGCTCGGAAAACTCACAACAACCCAGTGATTCCAGCCATGAAAACCTCCGACAATATATAGATACTTCCCGATAACCTGCTTAGCCAATTAATGGGCAGCTTGGTTCTAAGACTATGACATGCGCTAGGATGGTCATGACACACATTATATTAAGTGCCAACCCCAAGTATAGCTGTAAAACACCGAGAGCAATGCACACAAACAGTAACAGAGCAGACCTATCTTTCAAAGTGGTGCTCTGAGATTTCTCCTCCACTCCCAAGGAATTGAGATCTGGGTTCCACATTGCTCTAGAACAGTGTTTCTCAGCCTTCCCAATGCCGCGACCCCTTAATATAGTTCCGCATGTTGTGGTGACCCCCAATCATAAAATTATTTTTGTTGCTACTTCATAACTATAATTTTGCTACTGTTATGAATCGTAATGTAAGTATCTGTTCCAGAAGCATTCTCTCCTGACATTTCACCTGCATCTATGGCAGGCATCCTCTGAGGTTGTGAGGTCAGGTGGAAATGCTTCTGGAACATGGCCATACAGCTCGGAAAACTCACAACAACCCAGTGATTCCAGCCATGAAAACCTTCGACAATACATAGATAGGTTGTTTCTCTGGTTTCCCTAGTTTTTCCTAGTTCCAACAGACCTCATTACCTCTGAGGATGCTTGCCATAGATGCAGGCGAAATGTCAGGAGAAAAATTGCCTCCAGAACATGGCCATATAGCCCGGAAAAACCTACAACAACCCAGGGATTCCGGCCATGAAAGCCTTCGACAATACATAGATACTTCCCGATAGCCTACTTAGCCAATTAATGGGCAGCTTGATTCTAAGACTATGACATGCGCTAGGGTGGTCATGACACACATTATATTAAATGCCAACCCCAAGTACAGCTGTAAAACACCAAGAGCAATGCACACAAACAGTAACAGAGCACACCTATCTTTCAAAGCGATGCTCTTGCCCTGAGATTCCTCCTCCACTCCCAAGGAATTGAGATCTGGGAACAACAATTGGGTATTAAAAACAGCAACAGTTCCAAGACTCCTAAGAGACTAGTCCACTGTGTTCTCCTCACTTCATCACTGTTCCACAAACAGCCACAGAGCACACCTACCTTTCAAAGCGGTGCTCTTGCCCTGAGATTCCTTCTCCACTCCCAAGGAATTGAGATCTGAAAACAGCAGTTGGGTATTTAAAAACGGCAACAGTCCCAAGGTTCCTAAGAGACTAGTCCACTTTGTTCTCCTCACAGTTCAGCCCTTCAAGTCCCACTTTCGACTTTCCCTGGTTGCTCTTTGGAAAACCTGGCAGTCCTGCGGTGCGCACTCACTCATTCACTCACTCACTCACGCATTCACCAGGAAGGGAAAGGGCCGCCTCACACGGCCTCCACGCCCTCCATTCCTGGAATGAGGTCTCTGTCATCTATTCCTCCTCCATCAAAACATTCATTCTTTGGCACGGCACCACATAACTGGCTGAGAACAAATTGTTGAAAACATCCCGTCTGAACTGGAATGCGGTTCTTCCCGCACTGTGATGGTGAGAAGGGGGGCAGAGGTCTCTTGATTGGGGCTGGATCATCTTGGGGTGCACACCAGGGGTTTTTTGGCGATGGGTCCCACTTTTGCACCTGGCCAGCACCTGCGCTTGCAGCTGAGCATTGCTGGAGGGGCTGCCTGGTCTCAGGCTCATGGCCAGGAAAAGCCCCCCAGTCAAAAAAAAGGGGGGGTCTCCTTTCTCAAGGGATCCTTGGATTTACCTCCCAAGTAACTGAGCTCACCCTCCCGTTGCAGGAGGCGGAGGTGTAGAGATTGCCAAGGTATCTTGATCCATCTTTATCAGCCTGGCTCCCACCCAAGACGTCGCTGGGCCTTTCCATCTCAGAATTTGCCTATACGCTTTGCTTCCTGCCTGCGAAGCATGAGATGGGATTCCAGAGAGAGAGAAATAAGGAAACAAAGATGGCCTGGAGGCCAGGGGGTCAGCCCTTTGGTGAGTCATGTCGCCTCTGCAAAGCCAGGATTAGGCAGGGCAAAAGGTAGGAGAACGGTGCCACCTATATGCAGATGACACCCAGCTCTACTGCTCCTTTCCACCTAATGCCAATCCCAACCCTGCTATATGCCTGCAAAACGTGGATGACTATCAACAGACATCACATGCAACTCCCGGAACGATCCCATCAGCTTTGCCTCTGAAAAATCCTGCAAATCTCTTGGGAAGACAGGCGGACACATGTCAGCATGCTGGAAGAAGTAAAGACCACCAGCATTGAAGTGATGGTCCTCCGCCATCAACTCCGGTAGACTGGCCACGTCCGAATGCCCAGTCACCGTCTCCCAAAGCAGTTACTCTACTCCGAACTCAAGAACGGAAAACAGAATGTTGGTGGGCAGGAAAAGAGATTTAAAGATGGGCTCAAAGCCAACCTTAAAAACTGTGGCATAGACACTGAGAACTGGAAAGCCCCGGCCCTTGAGTGCTCCAGCTGGAGGTCAGCTGTGACCAGCAGTGTTGTAGAATTTGAAGAGGTACAAATGAAGGGCGAAAGAGAGAACTGTGCCAAGAGGAAGGCGCCTCAAGCCTACCCTGACTGGGACTGCCTTCCACCTGGAAACCAATGCCCTCACTGCAGAACATGCAGATCAAGAATAGGGCTCCACAGTCACCTACGTACCCACCACCAGGCTACCACACTTGGAGGACAATCTTACTCGGACAACGAGAGATTGCCTAAGTAAGTAAGTAATGCCAAGGAAGCTGTCCTGACCCCACTGTCTGTCATCAGTAATGGACTGGATGAGGGCAAACAAATTCAAACTTAATCCAGGGAATAGGGATCCAGCCTGTGCTGGATGGGGTCACACTCCCCCTGAAAACACAGGTCTGCAATTTGGGGGTCTTCCTGGACTCAGTGCTGTACTTGGAGGCCCAGATGTCGGAGGTGGCCAGGAGGGCCTTTGCGCAATTAAAACCTGTGCGCCAACTGCGCCCATTCCTTGAGAAGCTAGAAGTCACAGTGGCACATGCCTTAGGACCCTTCCACACAGCCATATAACCCAGAACATCAAGGCAAAAAATCCCACAATATCCTATTTGAACTGGATTATCTGAGTCCACACTGCCATGTATTTCGCTTCAAAGCATATAATGTTGGATTCTATTAATTTATTTATTTATTTACGACATTTATATACCACCCTTCTCACCCCGAAGGGGACTCAGAGCAGCTTACAAGATATATATATATATATATATACATACAATATACTATATTATTAGCGTAGTACAATATCAGGATTAAATATTACTATATTGTATTATACCATTATATTGTAATATTATTAGTGATATTACACGTAATATAAATATATAATTATAATATATTATTAGTATTAGTATTATATTGCATTACATTATAATATTATAAATATTATATGTATATACAATATATTATATTATATTATTAACATAGCACAGGAGACAAGGTGGAACTGTCCCCTGGCTCCCTCTCCCTTCACTCTGGCCCAGAGCAGCAGTTGTTTTTATTCAGCTTTGTGGAAGGGGCCTTAGTTACATCCTGTCTGGTTTATTGTAACACACTCTACATGGGGCTCTCTCTGAAGAGTGCTCAGAAACTGGTTCAAAGAGCTGCAGTCAGGTTGTTCACTGGGGCTGGCTACAGGGAGAGGACAACCCTCCTGTTGAATCAGCTCCACTGGCTGCCAGTCTGTTTCGGGCACAATTCAAAGTGCTGGCCATGACCTTTCATAGAATCATGGAATCAAAGAGTTGGAAGAGACCTCATGGGCCATCCAGTCCAACCCCTTGCCAAGAAGCAGGAATATTGCATTCAAATCACCCCTGACAGATGGCCATCCAGCCTCTGTTTAAAAGCTTCCAAAGAAGGAGCCTCCACCACACTCCGGGGCAGAGAGTTCCACTGCTGAATGGCTCTCAGTCAGGAAGTTCTTCCTCATGTTCAGATGGAATCTCCTTTCTTGTAGTTTGAAGCCACGTCCTAATATCCAGGAAGCAGAAAACAAGCTTGCTCCCTCCTCCCTGTGGCTTCCTCTCACATATTTATAAATGGCTATCATATCTCCTCTCAGCCTTCTCTTCTTCAGGCTAAACATGCCCAGCTCCTTAAGCCGCTCCTCATAGGGCTTGTTCTCCAGACCCTTGATCATTTTAGTCGCCCTCCTCTGGACACATTCCAGCTTGTCAATATCTCTCTTGAATTGTGGTGCGCAGAATTGGACACAATATTCCAGGTGTGGTCTAACCAAAGGCAGAATAGAGGGGTAGCATTACTTCCTAGATCTAGACACTATGCTCCTATTGATGCAGGCCAAAATCCCATTGGCTTTTTTTGCCGCCACATCACATTGTTGCTCATGTTTAACTTGTTGTTCACGAGGACTCCAAGATCTTTTTCACACGTACTGCTCTCGAGCCAGGCATCGTCCCCCATTCTGTATCTTTGCATTTCGTTTTTTCTGCCTAAGTGGAGTATCTTGCATTTGTCCCTGTTGAACTTCATTTTGTTAGTTTTGGCCATTCATCTCTCTAATCTGTCAAGATCGTTTTGAATCCTGCTCCTGTCCTCTGGAGTATTGGCTATCCCTCCCAATTTGGTGTCGTCTGCAAACTTGATGATCATGCCTTCTAGCCCTTCATCTAAGTCATTAATAAAGATGTTGAACAGGACCGGGCCCAGGATGGAACCCTGTGGTGTGAAAGGACAGAGCTATGTGTAGTGTACATCCTTGTGTGAACCTGCCCAGGCCCTGAGATCTTCAGGAGGGTCTCTCTCTCGGTCCTACCTCCATCTCAAGCTCGGTTAGTGGGAACGAGAGAGTGGGCTGCCCCTTGAATGTGGGAAAATTCTTCCCAAGAAAGTCAGAATAGCCCCCTCCCTGCTGTCCTTCCTGCAGCCGGCTAAAACCTTCTTATTCAGACAGGCTTTTAAAGAAGAAGGTTTTTCAAATCAAGTCAGGGGGTGCTGTGGTTTTTCACCTTGAATATGTTTTAATGGATTATAATGGATAGCGGTTGTACTTCTCACTTTTGCCTCTTCCTTGCCTCCTGCTTCACTCTTCCATCGTTTTTCCTTGCCTATTGTTGTTTTTGTTGTTGCTGCTGCTGCTGCTGTTATCATGTCAGGAGTAACTTGAGAAATTGCAAGTCGCTTCTGGTGTGAGAGAATTGGCTGTCTGCAAGGGCATTGCCCAGGGGACGCCCGGATGTTTTGATGTTTTACCGTCATTGTGGGAGGCTTCTCTCATGTCTCCGCATGGGGAGCTGACAGAGATTTTGAAATACTGTTTAAATTTAATTATGTTTTGATGTTTGCATATTTGTATATTTTAATTTGCATGCTAATGCTTTTATGTTAAGCCACTTTGAGTTCTTCTTTGGGAAAAATAAAGTGGGGTAATAATAATAATAATAATAATAATAATAATAATAATAATAATAATAGTGAGATAATAATGAGGAGATATGGTTTAATTCTGTCTTAATGTTTGCATATTTGAATATTTTAAATTGTATGCTAATATTTTTATTCTAAGCCACTTTGAGTTCTCCTTCGGGAAAGATAAAGTGGGGTATAAATAAATATAATAATAATAATGAGGAGATATGGTTTAATTCTATCTTAATGTTTGCATATTTGAATATTTTAAATTGTATGCTAATGTTTTTATGTTAACCTGCCTTGGGTCTCCTTGGGGAGAGATAAAGTGGGATAATAATATAAGAAGAATAAGAATAATAATAATGGAGCCCCCAGTGGCGCAATGGGTTAAACTCTTGTGCCAGCAGGACTGAAGATCGACAGGTCAAAGGTTCGAATCAGGGAAGAGCATGGATGAGCTCCCTCTGTCAGCTCCAGCTCCCCATGCAGGGACATGAGAGAAGCCTCCCACAATGATGGTAAAACATCAAAACATCCGGGCAAACCCTGGGCTACATCCTTGCAGATAGCCAATTATCTCACACCAGAAGTGACTTGCAGTTTCTCAAGTCACGCCTGACATGATAACAACAACAACAGCAGCAACAAAAACAACAACAGGCAAGGAAAAACGAAGGAAGAGTGAAGCAGGAGGCAAGGAAAAGGCAAAAGTGAAAGGCACAACCGCAGTGCTCAAAGCATCTCCATGTGTGTCTTGTTCAATGCACATCTGCATGCAGGTGAGGCTCCACAGCACCAATGGCACCAAATGTGCAACTATGCTTCCACAACCTTCTACTGAATTTGTCCTTCTGCACCAGACCAAAACACCCATCTTCTAGTAGAGAAGCTTACAGCATGTCTAAGGGATGAATGGAATGCCAAAGAAAGCTGGAGCCAGGGAGTT